CCATCCCCAGCAAAAGAAAGAGCGGAGCATCGATGGAGGGGTAGCTAATAAGCTCGGCGAGCTCGAGAAGAGCTCTGGGTTGTTTGGTTTGGCGGGGCAAGTGGTGATTTCATGATCAGTCGATGAAACCTGCCAGCAACAACTCCAAGCAGCATCATCATCACCATAGTTGGCGAGCGTCTTTTTCATCAATTTCTCAGGCTCATTCCGTAATTAACACTCATTCATCATCCCGTCATACTTTGCGAGACAGGTCGTTCTCAATTGATCACACCGTCACGTCTCATTTGAGCTCACCAGCTACATCTCATCTACGGACACACCTACACACGCAGGCTGTATATTCCCCAACTTCACAGAATGGCTGCTTCCGAGCCTGAGCGCCGTCGCATCGTCGGTCTCTCAACCAAGATGTACTTCTCCCTCGCCCGGCAGGCCGAATTCACCTCCGCCGCCCTCACCAGCCTCGCAGCCGTCTCCCCCGCCTCCCTGTCCGCCGTCGACGTCTTCATCATCCCCGACTTCCTCAACATCCGCTCCACGGCCGACTCTCTCGCGGCCGCCGGCGCCTCCCACATCTGGATCGGCGCCCAGGACTGCCACTGGGAGGACTACGGCGCCTTCACCGGCGAGGTCAGCCCCGCCGCCCTGGCCGACAGCGGCGTGCGCATCGTCGAGGTCGGGCACGCCGAGCGCCGCAGGCTCTTCAGGGAGGACGACGCCGTCACGGCCAGGAAGGCCGCGGCGGCGGCGCGGAACGGCATGATCCCCCTCGTGTGCATCGGCGAGAAGACCAAGGGGGACGTGGCCGTGGCCGTGGATGAGTGCCGGGTCCAGGTCGACGCCGTCATGGCCGGGCTCCCGTCTGAGGATGCCGAGGTGGTGCTTGCGTACGAGCCCGTGTGGGCGATTGGCGCGGCGCAACCGGCGGGCGAAGAGCATGTGCTGGCCGTGGTGGCGGGGATCCGGGATCTGGAGAGCGTCAAGGGGAGGAGGGGACTTACGAGAGTGGTGTATGGCGGAAGTGCTGGTCCGGGACTGTACGAGAAGCTCAAGTCTGGCTTGGACGGTCTGTTCTTGGGGAGATTTGGGCACGATCCTCAGCAGTTTGCCAAGACAGTCAAGGAGGTGGCCGAGGCGTGAAGCAGAGGATCGAGATTGGACATATTTAGAGTAAAATTGAGCAGGTTATTTTGTAATTAACTAATGGAATTGTAGATCATCAAATCATAAGGGATCAATTGGGTGTCTAGATGCTCCATGCGACCTTGTTGATATCTCCTATGGCGTGATTGATGCTCAATTGGCACCCGATAGCCTACAATGACATTGACAGCCCGTTGATCAATCTCGATGCCATTGATACCCCATAATCTGACACATTCCTGACACATCTATGGATAGACGTTTCGGCTATCTCATCGCCGGCTACGTCCGGGTTACGGCCCACGGAGAGGGTCACCCTCGGCCACCCCAATAGAAGTCATCCCGAAGCCAGCCGAAGTCGACCATCTTACCTACCACACACTAAGTAATGAGATGTGACGTGGCCTAGGTGGTTGCGTCAATTGTCAATCATCGAGTGCCCATCGGTCCGGTTACCCCTCTTCTCCGCCAAGATGCCTGAGAATCGCGGGATATATAAACTCGAGACTCGGCAGCTTGGGACACTGCATTCTTTTCAACGTGATACACCAATCGTGAACACACTTCCAAAACTTGCAAATAAAACAAGCCACCAAGCTTCACAATAACTTGAAGAAAAGTTTGTATACAACATGACCATCTTCAGATGGATGAGCAGGACTGACGGTTATCACTGACCAGTTTGTACCTACTCTGGTAAACTTTTGCCACCCCTGAACCTCTCAGGAAGAGGAGCAGCCGCCGTCATGGCACCTTTCAGCAGGAGTATATTATCCATCAACAATTGTTGTATCACAGGTAAAGTTCAAATGCGTGAGCCGGTGCCCGCACCTCCGGGCCATTGATGAAAGGGATCAGTGATGGTTCATAACCGTCATCCCTCTCATCGATGGCAAGGGGGAGCGTGGCTGAGATTATACGGCCAAGGAACTTGATCTGGATAATACCAGCGAAAGAATCATGCTCTCACCCCTACCACCAAACCTTACGTCGCCAGCAGGCCAGACTGACACCATCCCCCCAGATCCAAGATGAGCCCCCCTGCCGCCATCTCTCCCACCCTCCCGACCGCCACCCCCGTGGCAGCTAAGCTGGCCAGCCATGACAACGGCGCCGTCCAGAAGGCCCAGGTCTCGGTCGACGACATGCACGGCAACTGGGACTCGTTCCACTTCGCCCCCATCCGCGAGAGCCAGGTCTCCCGCGCCATGACGCGCCGCTACTTCGCCGACCTCGACGCCCACGCCGAGTCCGACGTGGTCATCGTCGGCGCCGGCTCCTGCGGCCTCAGCACCGCCTACGTCCTCGCCCGCCGCCGCCCGGACCTCCGCATCGCCATCGTCGAGGCCTCCGTCTCTCCCGGCGGCGGCGCCTGGCTCGGCGGCCAGCTCTTCTCCGCCATGGTCATGCGCAAGCCCGCCGACGCCTTCCTGCGCGAGGTCGGCGTGCCCTACGACGACGAGGGCGCCTACGTCGTCGTCCGCCACGCCGCCCTCTTCACCTCCACGCTGCTGTCCAAGGTGCTGCTCATGCCCAACGTGAAGCTCTTCAACGCCACGTGCGTCGAGGACCTCATCACGCGGCCCGGCGAGGGGGACGAGGGGATCCGCGTCGCGGGCGTGGTGACCAACTGGACGCTCGTGTCGATGCACCACGACGACCAGTCGTGCATGGACCCCAACACCATCAACGCGCCCGTCGTCATCTCCACGACGGGCCACGACGGGCCGATGGGCGCGTTCTGCGTCAAGCGGCTGGTGAGCATGCAGCGCATCGAGAAGCTGGGCGGCATGCGCGGCCTGGACATGAATGCCGCCGAGGACGCCATCGTGAAGAACACCCGGGAGATTGTGCCTGGGCTGATCGTCGGGGGCATGGAGCTGTCCGAGGTTGACGGGGCGAACCGTATGGGTATGATTTGACTGGCTTTCCTTGTGATCCTTTTTGCTCTTTATTGGATGGATGAACTAACGGTTATGATGTAGGTCCGACTTTTGGTGCCATGGCTCTGAGCGGTGTCAAGGCTGCCGAGGAGGCTCTGAAGGTCTTTGAGCTCCGTAAGAAGCAGAATGAGTTCTAAACAGGCATGGTCAAGGTGTTGACGGTACACGACTCGGTTGGCCTGCAGTCATGGATTTGAATCGGTATATCCATTCTTTTCGAGAGTCATGTTCGCTCCTTTCTCCGACGCTGTTGCGACGGGCTTGTATGTTGATGAAGAAAAGTAGTATTAGCATACGGTCGTTGCTTTGCTTGAGTGTGTCCTTCCTGGCACGAAAGAGAATAAACGTCTCGTCATCGTCATGAGCACTGTATCGGAGTGATTCGTACTAGTAAACCCCAGTGACCCGTTTCCTACACCCGTAAAGAAAAGCTCAAGAAAGTTTCAAGTACGAAGATCATCATGAATGCTAGCCATCGTTCCCCGTACAAACCATGTTCTCCGAGGCCAGTTGATTTGCGACGGGAGCAGCCGAAACCAGCCCGGATCCGCAGCCTGGATTCCGAAAAGGGTCCAGCGCCGCGTATAGAAAGAATCTAGAACGCTGCGACGAAGCAGAAGGGGACGATGACTGATGGCATGTCACTGGAGGAAGGAGGGCCTGTCTCAGGTTCGACACGAGCCTTGGCCAGGACACGTGAGGCTTTGGCCTCTGGCGGGTCAGATCACCATCGTGTTCAGCAAGTCGACCAATGCCGTCGGCACGCTAAGGGCTTGCCATCGTTTGGTCCTGGACGGCACTTTTTCTGAGCTAAGCGGGCAGCGCATGGCACCCCGGCCTGGCTCTCGGGGTGGGAGATGGATATATTAATGCTATGGGGAGGAAGCAGCCGTTCGCGTATAGGGGAGGAGGCTACGGCATGCTACGTAGTTAAAGTCAGCTTACCCACTAACTAGAACCGATGGACGTTCCAGATTCTTGGTGCCAGATTGGGAAGCCCAGAGAGAGATCCCACGTACTCTTTGATGTGGTTGGAATAGAGAACCAAGTCACCGGCGGCCTCCCAGAACATCGGCATACAAATGAGAAGGCAGCCAAGCCAAGCGAAATCTTTGCCCGGTGCCAAGCTTAATAAAATCAGATAATTACAGAGTCCCTTCAGCCAACAGCAGTCTGTTGGTGATTGTGCGCTGTGCCAGACGGGCAGATCCTTGTTGGCTGCCTCCCGCTCCACCCTGGTCTGAGCAAAACAGCCTTAAACCCTCAGTCATGCACACACACGAAGGGTCTGGACTCTGGGCGCTTGGGCGGCGATTGGACTGCAGTGCGACTCTTCCCATAGGGCCAGCGTGGGATTATGGCGTACAGCATCAACACCTGCATCCCGGCCCCCTTTCAGCTGAATGGGCCGTTTGCAGAGAGAATGTCGTATTGATATATTTGCCATCACACGAGCATGCAGTTGGCACCGGAAAGTGGGGAGGACGTAGCATTTGTTCATTCGGGGGCAATTGTATTTGCAAAGGATATCAAGAGGAAAAAAGAAAACTCCTTTATTCTACCCGAGGGTGGGCAAACCGTGTGCAAGCCAAGCCCCGTCGTTTCAGCCTCCCCCCATAGGTATCTCGTTTTCATTCCAGCGAAGCCATGAAGTGAACACCTTTTCCCCAAAAGCCCAAGCCTTGATCCTTCTCGTCTATCGGTCGTGACGGCCCAAAATCCACGGGGCACAGTGGCAGCAGTATTGGTGATGGTGGTAACAGTAAAGAATTAGAATTATCGGGAAAGTCCGGACATTGTTTTATTTGAATAACAGATGAAATCGCTCGTTTAGATCATGATGTGCAATAAGATGGTGAATTTCCCGAGGCGTGTTGACGCGCCTCCGGGGGCTCTGTGCAACTTTCAGAGTCACGGGGCAGTAATGCGGATGGCGATCTTAGGTTGCGGCCTGGGCCGCGGTGATGACTCTGGCAGCCGCCGCAGGTCGTCGTGGCCATGGGAATCCTCCTCGTCCTTCTCCTCCTGGTCCAGGAATGCCCGCCTCTCCTCCATGCCTCGCTCGCACCGGTCCAGGCAAACTTCCCGCGTGGCGCGCTCCGGGCTCCAGGTGTACTGGAGGAAGAGGGACACGGCGCCGAACAGCCCGAACAGCAGGATGACGAGGGCGATGCTGATGTACAGGTGCATTGCTCCGTTGGGGTCGCCTTGGTCCACGCCGGCTTCGTCGATGTTGAGTGAAGCCATGTCGTTGAGGGAGGAGAAGCGGCGGGGGAAGAGCATGCGAGGCATCTCTTTTGTTGCCAAGGCACCGTCCATCCTGGATTCTGTCGTGTCCTTGTGTGTGTTACAGGAGCCGCTTTGTGTGTAAACCAGATATTGGCGAATGGTAAATAGGTTAGATGCGTGAATAGTTGTTTCCTGGAGGAGGCAAGAGGGAGTTGTAGTTCTTTAATGAGCGTCTGGCGGGGTGCCTTAGTGTAGGCAGGTATTAATAGATGTTACGAAAGTGATGAAAGGGATACGACAAAACGAGAGAGAGGTCATGCAACGCCGGGAGGTTTCACACAGCCGACCTGGGGAACAGACGCCTCTTAATACATGACAGGGAGGGGGAGGTGACAAGGCGAGCCGACTGGTTATTATATGATCCCAAAGAAAGGAACCACCCAGCTTCTCGGCCATCCGATCCGGCCCCAGCCAGTTGCCTCTGGCGCTAGACCAGGGGCACAGGGGGATTCGAGCACGACAGGGCTGGACGACGGTGTGTCTGCTTGCGTGTGGAGGCGATCCCACCAACACACGAGGGCTAGAGCCGATCAGGACTTTTGTTGGTTGCTTAGAGTTCAGGGCCTGGGCTTACCCAAGCCGGACGCCGGGGTCTAGAAGACCAACAGCTTGCCGCATACGATCAATGCTGCGTGGATGCTCCCGGGCGTACATACATAGGCACATACGTACGTCCACAGGCGCCACATACCGACGGTTCAGGGGTGTCCCTAGCCCGGAGCCCAGGAAAAAGAAGCTTGTGTGCGCCTGCATGTGTAGATCGGCTCTGATTTGATTGGCTTAGGCGTAGCAGGCGGCCTCCCTGCGTACGAAAGAGAGTCTGGAGAGGTCTGTAGCCTGTAGCAGGTCTGGTATGTACGCAAGATGCCATATCATCTCCCCTCGTCCCTTGGTCTCATAGATGCCGGAGAGGGACTGAGGGGCAGTAAGCACACAAGTGCTCACGCGCCCATGCATTCAATGCTGGGATGCATTTCCTCTTGATGCTGTGGCTCGCCTTATTGTCTCCAGTCTTGGGCATGCAAGCCGTGGCCCTTCCCGGATGCCTGCCCCTGTCCCGTTCCTGTGAATGTTAATGGCTACAGCAGTTGACCACTGCTCGGCTGAGTATGTATTATAACCAGGCTGATTTCATATCGACGGGGAAATTGCATTCCTCCCAACTCAAAAACTCTAAGTACTAAGCACATCTTTTAAGCGCACACTCGGCCCCCATTCCCTACATATCTACCTTTAGGCTCAATTGAACTCTAGAAATAAGCATACAGACCGCCCCCTTTTGCTCTTTCGTGGAGCCGGCAATCCGGTTCACTGCAGCAGGAACAGACTCGGCAAATAGCGCGCGGGCAATGACAGCCAGAGTGGATGATGTTGGTGCGCGGCCAACGGGCAGTCAGGCCACCGTCAATTAAACGCAGAGGAGCCAGCCAGCACTTGGCAAGAATGTCATGCAGTGTGTCGAAAGAGAAGGAGGCAAGGAACACCATCAAGACGCCCGAGGACGGCGCTGGCCAATACCAGCATCACATCATCGCTTCACGCACGCACGTGGTCAGAGGCTACTGGCACGACCCGCGGCCTGCACGCCCTCTTTGGCCTAGCCAATAATTCCTCCGGTGTGTTCTTTTCCTTGCCTCTTTTCTGCTGGGAGATGGCCACAGGGGTTTTAGCACCTCGTTAGCCCAAGCAGCGATTGATCGCACGCGTGGGGAGGTCTCTCCCTCACCACTACCGGACAGCCGGCCATTGCCTCGAGGCCTGGGACGTGGCATTCAACTCATCGACTTCGTCATGCCTTACGTCGTCAGTGGGATCGGTGGATTAACCAGGAGCTCGCTGGTGGCCGCCACAGCGCCTTTGCCGGAGCTGGCCACCCCTGCGTCCAGACCGTTTCGATCTTTGCTTGCCAATATATTGGCTCCTGATCCACTGGGAGATGAGATACTCCCGATTGAACCCACTTGCCAGTTTCCCCCCACAAGAACCCGTTATGCGGGCTGGGCTGGTGATTGGTCCCAGCCGGCCTCTGCTCCCATTTTCACGGTTGGGCTATTGCTTCCAACGGGCCTGAACTAGCACAAGACTGGTTTGTTCTACAGGTCGATCTTCAAGTGCCATTGGGACCGCGTGAGAACCCTCTGTGCCCGGAATGTGATTGGCCTAGGAGCCAACATGGAGCCAGCACCGGACAGCATTCCAACTTTCCCCTCTGATTGTTTACGGAGCACTAATTCAGGCATGAATGGATCAAACGGGCATGAATAAACCAGATGGGCTCTCTAGCTTTAGGTGGCTTTAATTAAGTTGTCCGCACGCGATGTTTTCATCAAGCTTCTTTCCCACCAAGTCTCCCATCGCGCTCAAGCCGCAGACTATCACATATCATTTCAATAGCTTCACTGTTTCATGGAGGTGGTCACGTTTACATCAATACGGTCGAGCGCTGGAGGCCTCGTGTGCGGTGAGACCGTCGGAGTGAACATACTCGAATCAGAGATGGACTCATTTACCAGCTCAACATATATCACCGGGGAGTGGGAGTCCAAGTGAGGCCGCCCACTGAGCCAAATGTGTCCTACTGGGAGGGGCTCTGAATAGCTTCGTGCCGTCGGTTCTCTACCTCACCGCCAGCGCGCACGACCCTTGTCCTCTGTAGCCGCCCGATGCTCGATTGGCCGACCGGTCCCAAAGCTGAATATAGTTGCAGGCATTCACGATCGGAGAAGGCCCGCAAGGCAGCAGTCTGAGACAACGGACTGGGCTGAACGTTCGTTCATTGAGATCGTCATCTTGCCTTAGCTGATGGAATAGCGCACGCCACGTTTTGCCGATCGCTGTGACGAGATATCAATGTCGAGTGGCGCGCTCTGCTAATCCTGCGCAGTAGGACGGTCCAACTATTATCCTTTCCCAGCAGTGCAGAAAAAGGCATGATTACTCTTGAGGGTGGCACTATGGTGATCTAGTATGTGAGTGACGGCTCGTGACTAATGTTCTCTCACAAGCCCACTCCCATACGGGAACTGTCTGTAAGGCGCATGCATGCGTGCATTGTATGGTCTTACCCAGGGGAATACTGAGTACTAACATTGGAAGAGCTTCTTTTCCCGCTGGGGGCGGTTAATTCCGGGCCCCATTGGGTTAATGTGAGGGTTTCTTGCCACCTGAAGCTCGAGGAGAACTATCGCTTGACTAGCTCAATATTGATGGGATAACCAACAGAGCTCAAGCACGACTCTCTCCCCTTTGGGTCCTACCTTGGGAACAAACTTGAACATCCCAGTGACGGGCAACCACCCAGTCAGTGATGCTCATGGTGAGTTGCTGTGCCTCGAGTCAGATGGCTTTGGACCGAGCGCATGTCGAGCAATAAGACATGAATGCCACTGCAATATGAACTTTTACCCCTGAGAGGCATCCGGAAGACTCGTTCCGAGTACCTTCGGGGTCTGATCACCGCCCGCACTATCATGTCTTGGACCCGTTCACACTAATTTCTCAGGAACAGTCTCACATGGTAGTAGTATAATCCAAAAGAAATGTGAAAGCCTTGTAAGCTAGGTAGTTGGGCAGGGCTGTTTTCACCAGGAAAACACATGTAACATGTTTTTTTTGCATCTCTCACTTCTTTCCTGCGGTCTACAGTTTACATGCGTATGCCCTGTCAAGATCAGCAATAATCTCTCTGAGCAACTCTGGGAGGTTAAATCTCTGCTAATCAACCAGAGGAGAACGACCAGGCTGACTCTATAAGGCACTATACAGAAGAATCAAGCTCAACTCAACTTGGTTCTTGAAAATACCGAGAGTTTTCGCTTAAAATAGCTGCAGCATGGGGATGGCGCCCTGGGATGGACCGTCCAAGACGAACACGTTCGACGAGTAAACAACCACGACGCCTCGACATATTCTCGGTGATTTACAAGACAAAAGTCGGGAGGAGAGAGTCGACAGTCACCATGGGATGCGCATTCGGCGTATCTCGAAGGGTGACAGAAGTACATTCTTTGAGTGGTCACCTTGAGCAGCACTGCCGAATGGGCTGTCGAGTTTTGTTAGCCGAGCTTTCCACAATTTGCCTCCAGTTCTTCTTTGCCGCCATCGTCATGCGGGCTGCCAGACGCGAGGTCTCCTTTTCGAGGATATGACTGTGGACCTCTCTCGGTAACGGCAAAGAAAAGGCAAAGAACGAGACCAGTGGCGAGAGAAAAGGAAGACCGCTTACTGCTTCTACGCTCTTTTGTGACAAGTCTCAAAATCACCAAAACACCAGCGGGCGAAGAAAAGCAGCCTTTGTTTCCCTCCACGCCAGATGCACAGTTTGCCAGTGGAATAACGTGTGTTCAGTAGCTTCGGTATCTTCTCCACCATCTATATCAACGACATCGCCCATAGACTCGAACCTGAGCCAACCCGGGCTGAGAATATAGGCCATGAACTGGAAACCGTCGACTTCGATACATACACAGCGATTAATTATGGAGAGCACTGTTCGCCCCGGAGGCGGCGCACGCTTTACACGCAACGGTTCACTGATTACCAGAGCCCGTGAAACCAAACGTACAATGACACACCTGATTTTTCAGTCGAACAATACCGCGTAGCATATGACGCACCTGCTAAACACACTGAAGTCGCAGGCATTGAACATCTCGACGCCTTGGAGAACCTTGTGAACCCTACCATAGCTTACACCCCGCCTTGTGAACAGGCAACAGTAGGTTCAGGGTGATGCATCCTGGGCCTTGCGGCTCCCGCGGAACCCGGCCCACAGGTAAGGGTCCTTTTCCACTTGCCCAGGAGATATTTCCCAAACTAGCCGCCTGGGAGGGCACGACAGGAAGGATGGGATATTTTCGCCCCTGTGGGCAAGCGAAGAGTCTTATTCGAGCATGACATAGAAGAGAGAGAAAGGAACGACATTGCTCCATACCGTAAGACGATGGTGTGAGCGGTGGGAAGCTGCCAAGACGATGGACAGTTGATGTTGATCAACAACAAGTAATCAATCTACCAGCCTGCCTTTGATCGTGGGTCAACGATGAACGACAATCAACAGGCAAATGGCATCCATTCCAGAATTTACAGTGTCATCAATAATGGCATCCCCACTAGGAAATGGACTAGCATTCGATCCACGACTGAAATATTCATTATTTTGTTTTCGCTTCCCGTAATGAAACGCCATCTACATCAACATGATTCCAATAACTCCGATCCCCTTAATTAATAAAAGTCCAAAGAAACAACAAAACGAACGCTTAGTTCCACAAGTGGCATCATAGGCAAGAAGGGTACGGTACCACCCTCTTAACTTCACCTCACATCTTCAGCAGCACGTCGTTCTCAACAATCTTATCCTTCCACCCCTCCGCCGCCAGCCGCACCATCGCCCTGCCCAGCTGCAGCGTCCCGATCCCATGTCCGGACAGCTGCCCAAACAGCATGAGCCTCTTGGGCGCCCTCGCGCTCGGTGCCGCCGCCGTCAGCCCGCCTGGCCGCGCGATGAGCACCTCGAACCGGTCGGCGCCGTACGCGTCCTCGAGGTCGCACAGCGCCCTCTCGACGGCGGCGCCCCTGGCCTTGCGCGGGTCGTACAGGAAGAGCAGCGGCTTCCTCTGCTCCCGGCCGCACCTGCTCCCGCCGCGACCGCCGCCGCTGCTGCACAGGACGAAGCGGAACTTGCGGCCCGGCGGCGTCCTGGGCGCGAGGCGGGTGCACATGACCTTGGCGCCCGCGAGGGTCAGGTCGATGTCGGCCTTGAGGCTCTTGTATATGTCATCCGTGGGCTCGTCGGACTGGCCGCCAACTGCCCTATATGTAGACGGGGGGGGGTTAGTTCTGGCACTTGGGCGATTCCCAACATCTGACCAATACACAAAAATCGTTGCATATATTTACTGACGAGAAAAAGAACGGCAATGGAAATGGTTACTCACCATAGACAGGCCTCGGCTCCCACAAGTCTCTCCATCAGCTCGTCGGGGTAGTGCGAGAAGTCATGATGCATGATGACCTCGGTCTTGGGGTGGCTCTCGACCTCGCCGGCCACGGCCCTGCGGGCGAGGATGACGACCTTTGTGATTCGGGGGTCGGCGAGGCAGGCCTTGGTGATGCCCCGGCCTGCGGTGCCCGTGGCGCCTGTGACGATGACCTTCATTTCCGCTTAGTCCTCACGCGGCCACAGAGGAGCGAGCCAGACATCCAGGAAAGTTCAGTGAGTCAAGCGTGTAAGTCAGCCAGGCGACTGAGTGTCGACGGTAGAGCTTATTTGATCTTGGGTTTTCAGTCCGAGGTTGATCTGATATGTAAGTAGATGTGCAGTGCGTGACTGGCAGCTCTCGGCACAAAGATGCCGATCGACTCGGGTCGTGGGGGGAAGCAGTGCCGCCAAGGTGAAACCTAATAACTGCACTTTCTTTGTCTTCTGGGTGGTATAATTGCACTTTGGGTTGCAGCGGGCATGGAGTGAAGGTGCACATTCACCGTCTAAAGCTTTGCCAAAAGGCGGCGTGATGGGCGCAGGGATCGGGATTCTCTATATATATATGCCTACTAAATAGCATGTTCTGTATATCCAACCAGCTAGCATTGAACGACGTCTTCGGTGATGGGACGACAGGGTACAACGCTAGAACGACAGCTTTTCCCATCCGCGGCATTGATTACCGCCCTCTGGTTTCTGAAACTTTTGGGCATCAGATGGCAGACAGAATCCGCATGGGCCTCTGAGGCCGTGCAGGGCGAGCCGCATATCCGGGCCGAGTGGAGCTCGCGCTCATCTCTTTCGTAAGTGATGTGCGGCGCTTGGCTCGATGGGAAATGCGAGACAGATCAAAGTACACAGGTCAATTTGAGATGTCAGTGTTGAGTTATGCGCCGGTGCCTTGCAGCTGACTCAGGACTGAGACTCCCGAGGCCCATCAATCACCTCGAGCGCGCCCACGCCCGCGAGAGGAGAGTCGGTGATGGATTGACTAAACCTTGGAGTGTCTGCTCCGTGTCACGAGCATACACAAGTGCAGTCATTCATGTGGCGGCGCGGGTACAGCCGAACCCAGCAACCAGTCAGTTGGCTGTTCGTCGGCTCACAACATCCGGGTGGACGCACTAAAACCGCCGTCCGCGCATCACCACTGTATTGAACTCTTCTGGTGCTGCCTGTTTGGTGCCTGTAGTTGAGCTGTCCTGTTCCCTCTGTGCTGTCCATCGCATACAATAACACCCATCACCGCATCATGCAGCATCACATACCACTCTCCAACTCCTCAAAAGCAACATCTCCCCCCTCCAGCAGCACAGCACAGCACAGATGCCCTCGCACCGGGCAAATCGGCACGTCCCCCACACCTTCATTTCGATGCCGTTTGTTCCAGCGGAGAACTCTTGCCCCCGACATTCCGCCCATTCGCTCCACGAAAGAGGCCGTAATTAGACCCTAGATGTCACACGACTTGGGCCAGAGTTGCCCCCCTCCACATCATCTCTGTCGCGTCCATTGTTCGTCTTCGTATGCGTAGCGTAGACCCTGGTCTGCCACCCCCCGGCACTTCTTCTGAGTCCCGCTCAAGTGAGGGATCAATAGACGCTGCGCCACTGGAATATTTAGAATATTCTATCAATCTTCCGGTGTGGTCCAAGGTAGCCTAACCCTTGTTTTCCTCTTTCGTGAACTGGATGCCGCAAGGCTTGACGCCAGTGAAACGATCGGCGCTGGTGTTTCATGCACTGCATCCCAACCGGCTTTGCGTTGGCAGTACTCTTACTGCACTTACAACCAGTCTCTGCCCAAAGGGAGGGGCTGGCATGTTGTAGTAAATGAATCCCTCTGCGCACGAGTCAACCGAGTCAAGTTAGTGACGCCAAGATGATGCATTGCCGTGTTCCGCGAGGTTGCACATTCGGTATCATCGGGCGACAAGTCATCAGAACGTAGAATTTTTTTTTCTCTTCTCCCCTGTTCAACCGAAGAGCATGGGCGTATGGTCGCCGCGGACGCGATTCCCGAGCCTGGTGACGAATAGCCAGGCTGCCTGGGATAACTTCTCGGTCAACTCGCCCTGCTGGACGACCTTGAGCCGGCTCTGGCCCAGCACGAACCCGCCGCATGATATCTGCTCTACTCGGACAGAAGGGTGGAACATGTCGAGGGCCAGGTGATGGTCGATGTAGGTGGCCAACGCCTCAAGAAAGGGCTGGCTCTGGGCCCCCTCCTCGAACCTCCAAGCCCACCCGTTGTCGTTGTTGGGTCCTGCGAGCCGCCGGCGTTCACGAGGGTCCGTCTCCCATGCTGCGTCTGTCTTCTTCTTCTCGAGTGTTTTCCCCACACGGACAAGTCTTTGTAGATCTTTCGGTTGAATCATAATATCCATCGTTCTGAGCCCTGATTGCGTTGATGTTTTCTTGCCTCCGTCCTCTTCGTCGCTCTGATCCGGGTCTGGGAGAGGTGCATTGAAGCCCAACGTTATGACAAAGTCCGGACCTCGTGGTGAGAGCCCAACCGTCTGGATCCAATCCTCCCACACTGCCGTGATCGTCCTAGTCCCCAGAGCAAGCCTGCTCACCCGACAGTCAAACGTCGTCGCCAGCCACTCGCCGATCACGTTCTTCAAAGCAGCAGGCATGCGCAGCAACAACAAAGGCAGCCGGAGAAAGCTGTCATTGTCGAGCTTCTTGCCCGTCTGCTCCTGACCCGGGTACATCTCCCAAGAAGACCTGCCCAGCTCCCCTTGCCCAGCCGATCCCGGCATCAGGATCGCAACGTAGGCCGCATTCTCATGCCGTATCTGGATCCACAGCCCTCGCTTCTCCTCGTCCGACAGCTCCTCCCACGTACCTCCCTCTCCCTGGAAGTCGGTCGCGCTCCCCAGGACTGCCCTGGCATCGAACCACCGCAGCTTGACCGACCGCAGAGGCCCGACCTGGCCGCCGGGCGTCAGAGACGATTCCAGCCCGATCTGGATCCCGCGCACCACGTCCCCGACCAGGACATCGCGCAGGCGGCGGCCGAGGAGCTCGAGGCGAACCGGGGTCAGGCCGCCGGGCCCAACGTAGAGCGGCGACACGGAATGCGTGGAGAAGGTGGTGTTGAAGAAGGGCGGCGCGGCATCATCAGTGTCGGCGGCGTTGGAGCTCTGGAATGCGCTGGAGGCTTGCGAGACGCTCGATATTCGGGCGCTACGTCGGGACATGACGGTTCATGGGCATTATGGAGCCCTCGATGTGTATTTTGGGGGGTTTCTGGTGTTTGAGTAGGGGTTGGAACTTGCTGTGTTGGGGAGAGTAGAATTGGATGTGGATGCTGCTTGGTGGGGGAGACGCGCCGAGACGCGACTTTTCAGAGCAGACATGTGTCAAGCCACCACACAATTAAGTTTCCTTCTAGCTAAAGCAAATTAATTGCTAAACCCGTGATTAGAGAGCTTAATCTTCCCCACTGTATTGAGCACTTAGAAAATTAATGACAATGATACGTTTTTTCCATCACTGACAATCCCATTAAAGATGTGACGATATCGTCCAATTGATGACTAAGCCAGACCTGAGACAACCCATCTCCAACGTTGAAGATTCTTGGCTTGCATCCTACCCTGTCGAAACTTCATTGGATGACATCCTCCTGGCGGGCAGCATTTCTGAGTCTAGGATCTTGTGGACTTGATTTGTCAACTAAATGCCATGATCCTAAGTCTGCCGACATTTTATTCTGACATCAGATCAGCCTACCTAAACCACAGGATGACAAGAATGAGAGATCATATATTACACCTTATCATTACTTGTCGTTGGGGGTTTAGTGTCAATCAGATGATGCCAATTATGTGACTTTAGATACTCGAGAGAGGTTGAGCGCGCCGTTTTACAGTCCACACCACCCGTCCACACTTGATCTCGATGATACTCAGTCCTTTCATAAACTTGGATATCATGGATCATGGGCCGTGGGTAAAGATAGAGAAATAGAGGGGCAAGAGGGGTTGCGTTCGGCCAACTTGGCCGTGGTGGGTACTTACTTACCCACCGTCGTAACGGCTGTCATGAATATGGGGATTGGCATCAGTTCTCGAGTCATAAATAGGGAGTCGTTCTTATAACCGTCACGACAGATTTCTACCCAATTTGAAAAAAAAAATCCATCCAAACGATCACCATGGCACAGACTTCAGTTAGCTGGAGCATTGCCTCCCAGGCGAGCGACCTTTCTGGCCTCGTTCTGCAGAACCAACGACCCATCCCGGAACTGGGAGACAAGGACGTTCTGGTGGAGCTTCGGGCTGCCTCTCTCAACTACCGTGAGCTCGTCGTTGCAAAGGTGAGTCTCGAGTTCCTCATCTCTACGTCGGGTGTTGCACTTCATTCCTCTAGCTCACAGTTTCCCCCAGGGCCAAAGCGGTTTAGTCGCACCCCCAGGTGCCATTCCAGGTTCAGATGGCGCGGGAGTCGTGGTCAAAGTAGGAAGCCAAGTTCAGAGCCTCCAATCAAATGACAAAGTCGTCACGCACATGATCCCGGACAAGTTCCCAAGCGATGCTACCCCTCCCTTGGGGGATGACGAGCTCCCGGGGTGGAACCACATCTGTGCAGGCTTGGGCCAGGAAATGAATGGTACATTGACTACATACGGGGTGTTCCCCGAGAGCTGTCTTGTCAAGTTTGGGGACGGGATGAGCTTCGAAGAGGCTTCCACGCTTACCTGCTCCGGAATCACAGCGTGGAACGCACTCATGGGTCTCGATGGGAGACAGGTCAAGAAGGGAGATTGGGTCCTGGTTCAGGGAAGTGGTGGTGTGAGCGTCGCCGCGTTGCAATTTGCCGTTGCAATTGGCGCTCTTGTAGTTGCTACTACAAGCAGTGACGAGAAAGGCGCAAGGCTCAAGGTCCTAGGTGCGAGCCACATTGTCAACTACCGTCAGACGCCATCGTGGGGTGCTGTTGCCAAAGAATTGACTCCTTCTGGCCGCGGGTTTGATATCATCGTGGACGTGGGCGGAAATGCCACCCTGCCCCAATCGGTAGCTGCTGTGCGACGAAACGGTGTGATAACCGTCGTTGGTATGATCGGTAAAGCAGATGTTGAGCCAACCCCGATGATGGCCGTGCTCTTCGTCGCTTGCGTTGTCAGGGGCATTTTGCTGGGGTCAAGGGCAATGATGAGAAACATGGTTAAATTTGTCGAGGACAACGAAATCAAACTGGCACTCGACGACGAGGTCTTTGCGCTTGCAGACGTGAAAGACGCTTTGAAAAAGCTGGAGGAACAAAAGCACTTTTCTAAGGTGATAATACAGATCCCAGGTAAGATACAGAGTGAAGAAGTATAAAGACGACGGCAGCTCAGTCGTCCAGGGCCGAGTGAGCGTGTGGAATATGCCATTGTCAGTGTTGAGAAGAGAGATACAAGATATTACTGACCATGCGCAACAACCTGTCGTCTCCCATGATCTAAATGTCGCTAGAAACTCAAAATAGCAATGATCTGGTATCTTGATAGGATAATAAAACGCCAAATAAAATATTGACTGAGCCAAGTTTCCCGAGTCATCCGACTCATTATGCACCAACGCTGAATCCAAAAGAACCGTCAAAGACATCCAGTTTCGAGACGTCCGTGTTCTTCTCGCCTCGAAGAGCACGAAGAATATCAAAGTCGGGGACCTTGTTGGCCGGATAGAAGAGAAGGAGATTGTCCATGTCTTCTTCGGTCAATTCGCACATCTCCTGCCAGTTGTATGTGTCGCTCACTTTCGACATCCTAATCACTGTCAGTTTCGCCTTGATCGACTAGTAACCATATTTTCACCCACCATGTCATCCGCTTCGGGCTGTCCTCCGAGGTCGGCGCGATCTTCCTCAACTTGACCCTCAGCTCGCCAATAGTCTCGATTGCATTTCCAGCATTCTCGGGCAACGACTTGGCGATGAACTTGCGGATCAGAGCAGCGATTCTCGGCCCTTTGCCATTGGTGCTGACCATGATCTGTAGTGGTCCATCCCGATGCACGCTTCCGAAGTAAAAGTCACACTCAGGGGGCACATCCGCAATGTTGGCCGGGATCTTCTTCTCCTTGCACAGCTTCCATATAGCGGTCGAGGCAGCGGGATCGTCGACGGCGACCAGGACCATCTCTGCACCATCGAGGTCAGAAGGCTCGAAGACACGGTCCACGTGAGTAACCTGCTTCTCAGCTATTCTGTGGCGAACTTCGTCGTTGAGGCCCGTTGAGGGCGCCACGACGGTAACAGCGGCGTCCGCATTGAGGCAGTTGAGGATCCTTCCAGCAGCGACCTATTCCAGACCAACAGATCCCAGGGTCAGTGTACGTCCACGATGGTTTTTTTTTGTCCTGTTGCAGCTCGGGTCTCACTCACCTCACCACCTCCAACAACCAGAACCTTCTTGCCCTTGATCTGCCATGCCAAGATCAGGCTTCCACCGGGCTGGACTTGGGGGAACTTCTTCGCCATAATCGAGACCTGAGAGGGATCACGCGTCATTGCGTTCCACGGGGTTCAGTTAGGTTGAGACAACTGATAAATGATGGACGGCGGACCGACCCTTGCACCTTGCACTTGCAGTGACGCTACCTCGCGATAAGATAAGACCAGCCAGCGTAAGCCTAAAACGTCAGCTCTGGCAGCCCGGTAAGGCGGTACCTGCTCCCCCGCCGCAAACAGTCCGAACTCACATGTTCCCCCCTATCGCCTACCTCAAGCACAGGCCCCAGGCAACTGGCTTCGCGCCGGGAAACCATCCCATCTGAACCCCGTCCCGTCGACCTCCATCCAATTATAACCAACCCCCTGCTGCGTCTGCCTTGATTCAAAACCCCGGAGGAACATGCCTGCAGCCCTCCAGCGGCTACAACACGAAACCTCCAGTGCAGCACCGCCTGCCTGCCCACCAGTTCCCGCCTAGACGAACAAGCAAAGACAGCTCGAGGGGGGCGCAGTTCGGCCAGCTGACGATCACTCTGTTCAATTTCAACTTGCCCCCAGCCTCACCGCCGCTGCCGCAACACTGATGCTGATGCTGCTCCAACCTTCCCTGCCCCTTCGTGCTTCCCGATCGCAACGAGATGTCCGGACGCAAACTCGGTGGCGGCCGCATCTTGGGCAGCGGTAAGGGCCTCGCTCCTCCCACCCCTCCGTCTGGCGCCCCTCGTTCGCTCAGCCCTCTTGCGCCCTCCGAGAGCACCGTTTCCCTGGGGTCTTCCTCAATTTCCCCGCCTGGCTCGGCGACTCTCACAGATCTTGGGCAGGACATTGGCTCGAGTATCAGCCTGGGCGCGCAGTCCAAGCGATCAGCAGCAAATGGATCGGCCTTGGTCTGCCCCATTTGCAATGAGGAGATGGTATGTCTTGAGGATACTGCTCGTTGGGCCATCGTGAGCTCTTCCACTAACCCGCCCGCAGCTGACGCTTTTGCAACTTAATCGACACATCGACGATAACCACCAGGAACTTCCCGAGGAGGAGCAGGACGAGGTGAAGACATGGTTCGACAAGCAGGTCCTCAAAGCGAAGCGGTTCCAGCCACTGTCCCTCATCAACCAGAAACTCCGCGGCCTGGACGTCTTCGAATCGAACGAGTCCGCGCCAAGCCCCCCACCCGTATCCGCATCGTCCGCCAAGTTTCCCGTTGAGGCCCCGATCGACCCAGACGACCTGATCTCACGGAAACACTGGCAGCGAACCACGCATGATGACTACTGTACGGACCCAGCCTGCGGGCGGAGCTTGGGTGCGATTGTGGGAAGCGTCAACTGTCGCCATTGCGGCCGTCTCTTTTGCGAGGAACATACCATGTACCAAATGAAACTGAGTCGGAGCGCCAACCATGAGCCAGTTAGAGGATACTGGGCAAGAGTATGCGAGACATGCTACAAGTCGAGAGATGGGTACAAGGACCACAGCGGCCTGGTGATAGACCACACTGCCACGTTTGCCGACATTAGGAGGAAGCGAGTCGAACGACACAACCTGGAAGTCTCGAGGCTGGAGAAGCGATTGGCTAAATTAGTACGGCTGCTTGAAAGCGCGCCGGAGAAGGTATCCGCGAATGCTGGATTATTATCGCCCACATTGTCTGGGCAAAAGAACCAAAGAAAGCTCCTGGAGCAATCGGTTGTCACATGGGAGGATGACAGTACGGTGGTGAAGTGCCCGTTTTGCCAACAGGATTTTGGGACGTGGACTTTCAGGAGGCACCACTGCCGAATATGCGGAAGGGTTGTCTGCGCTGATCTGCAGACCGGGTGCTCCTCCGAGGTAGCCATCGATTCAGCTGGCCGTACGTCTTTTCTCCCCAATGGACATGTTTCCTTAGCAAAACTAACAGTCGCAGTTTCCACAGAGAAGCCCATAGCTGTCGCAGCACCGGGGAAACTAAGCATAGACGTGCGCATGTGCAGGGAATGCAAACACACCGTCTTCTCTGGGCGCGAGTTCAGCGACTCGATCCATTCAAAACCACCAGACCAGCGGGCCTACGAAACACTCCGCCAATTCGAGCGTGGAATCCGCCAGCTGCTCCCCTCCTTCCACCGCACCCTCCTCGCCCTCCACCCGGAGAAGTCCGAGACTGGCGAGGTAGATCTGAGCAAGCCCCCGGCCACGCACGCACAGATCCAGGAGGCTGCCAAGATCCGCAAACGGCTGGTGGACAGCTTTGGAAAGTACGGATTGGCGGCCAAGAGGATGAGGGATCTGCCGAGCGACAGCCCGTCACAGAGGAAGCTGCAAATGGCTGTGTATACCCAAGCGAGCGGGTTCCTCCACACAAACATGCTTCCCCTGAAGAGCCTGCCGGCGGTCCTCCGCTCGCGATCATCCCTATCCACACAATCTACCGTTTCACGAATATCCCAGCATAATCCTTCCGGCCTCCGCCACTCAGAACTCGTCGATTCAGAAACCATATCCCAGGGAGGCACGACGGATGACGGGACAAGCACCGTGGTAAGCCTTCTCGAAACAGAGGAGAAGGACCTACGGGAGAGGCTGGTCGTGCTGGAAGAGCAGAAGTTCATGGTCGACGAGATGCTCAAGTCCGCCACGAAATCCCGTCGGTTCGAGGAGGTCACGGCTCTCAGCAGGAACAAAGACGAGCTGTCGGGGGAAATCAACGATCTGAGGAAGAAGGTCGGTGGCGTCGAAGCGCGCTGGGAAGGCATCTACCAGAATGGTGCGACGGCAACATGATACTCTAAAAACTACATGTTTTTTTCCGCCTATTTTTTACGACCACAATTTCGGTTGGCGTTCTTCCTTTTCGACCTCGACGTTTCTTACAGAAACATACTTTTTACAAAGCAAGCAGACTGCTCGGGGGATAGGGGGGTAACTTGGAGGACGACGGTACCACAATGAACTACTAATCCTAGCATATGTATCCAAGGGATCTCGCATGGCACGGCGTTTTGAGTTTACAGGGTGGTGGGAAGAGAGAGAGGGAGAGCTCTTTGAATTTGTTTCCTTTTTCAACAACACTTTATCTGGGTGGTGCAATTTGTTGGGAGTTAAGCCAGATGCATAGCTAGCATGCGTAAGAGACGAAGCGGGCCGTGATGGAAACCGGTCACCTCGAGAAGCGTTGAATTAACAGAGTCCTCTGAAGAGACGGCCTGGCATAGGCAATACATCATACATAATTCGATCTCGGGACGCATGGCACTAAGAGCATCATCACCCTGGAACAAAAACACAGCCTCTGCACGTCGAAATCTTGAAACTTTAGTTCAAGTCGTTTCATACATTACTATACGAATCCGTCCAAACAACGCGGACAGCGAGACGTTGGGTATTTACCGCTCGAGGATCGAAGAAAGAAAAAACACCGTATGCCCCAGAAAAACGCCAAAAAAACACACACATACAATCCCAATCCGCCTCTCCTTGCCCTGAGCCAGTTGTAGAGGGGCCTTACTCGGTGTGGCGATGTCTCGAAACATTTAGCCGTGTCCATCAATCCCACATGTTCAGATGGTGTATATACAAGGCCTTGAAACCTAATGAAGAAGACTGACAGGTAATGCAAAGCAAAAGACGCCAGAATGTAAAGAAAAAACAGCGAGTTCAAACGTCGTGACATTACTAATGCACCACGCCCTCTACGCCACCGAGGAAGCGTCTTACTCTGGTTGGGTCCAGCTCGTCGCTCTCGCTCTCAGCAGCCTTCAGCAGGCCGTCCACTGCCGAGTCAACCTCCTCTTCGGCCACGCCTGTGCAAACTGAGATGACTCGTCGATACTTGAACTCTATGTCTCGACTTCGCCCTTTCAGCTTTTGCACCATTTTCCTCGTTGCATCAGCGCGACTCTCCAGAGCCTTGATGCGAGTGCGCAGGACAATGGAAGACGGGAGGAATCCGATAGAGGCCTCGGCTGGGGATTCCAGAACGGTGGAGAGCTCCGTTTCCCAGGACCCAAGGGGGTTGGATCCAGCTTGTTCTTGCATGATGCGAATCTTGTCATCCTGACGAGTACTGGCCAAGTTGGTGATGATCTGACGGGCAACCTGCTGTTTTTTCAGGGTGGCAGAGAGCTGCTCAACACTCTTTCTAGCCTCACCCAACTGTGTCGAAGTCGTTCGGAGTGTTGAGTGAATGGAATCCACAGATTGTTGTTTAGCTTTGATTTCCTGCTGGAACGAGGTGCTTGTCTCCGTCAACAGGTGGGTAATGGCTGTTTTGAAGTTAGTCACAAGATCGCAAGCAATAGGCAGCAGAAGAGAGTACTTACAAGTAATGATCTCATCGCTGCTCTCCTTATTTCGCTGGCTAGAACCGACTGCGCCGTTAGTATCAGCCTGCTCCACTGCTGTCTTCTCCTCCGAGTTCTCTCCTCCGATGCCGAAGTCAAGCGGTCGCAGGCCAGCTCGGTTGGCAATCTCGGGATCTGCGCCCACCTCGAGCAGTTGCGACACTATGCTGCGATTGCCTATCCTCGCTGAGATATTCAGGGCGGTGTCGCCAGCGCTATCCTGAGCGTTGACTATTTCGCTCATGAAGCGCGCGATGCCCATCTTTGGGGTGGCTGTTTGCGAGCTTGAGGGGACGTTGCCATTGGCCTGGCTGTTAGGCACACTTCCCTGGCGCACAACCCACTCGAGCAGACTCTCCAGGTAGTACCTGCTTGCCGAACTGCGCCCCTTGACTGCGCTGGTCACAGCAATGTGGTGAAGAACTGTGCGTCCCTTGTGATCGCGGGACTCTACGGTACCACCCAGAACCTCGAGCAGGTCGGGGAAGGACCCATGATCCATGGAATTAGTGACTAGGCAGGCCCGCATTAGCGCTGTCTCGCCCGAGGTATTCACTCGGTATGCAGAAGCTCCGCACGAGATGAGGGCGCGTAAAAGGGGCATGCGGGACAGGGTGGCAGCCCAATGCAAGGCTGTGTGGCAATGCGCATCGATTGGCATATCGAGTTCCTGGGGTGTAAAGGTTCGGAGAACGTCATATCGAGTGCTGTCTGGCGCACCGTCGTCCATAAACAAGTCCATAAGAAGGCTGCGCTTGTGTGTGCTTTCGGGCGTGTGGTCCAAGGGCAAGGGAGCGAGAGGGCCGCCAAGATCCTCGTCGGGACTCTGGTTGATACCATTATAAACGAATGATTCGTTGGGTTCGGTGGGAGACCCGGGGAATGCGCTTGCGTTGGCGTACATGTCGAGAGTCGGCCCGTAACTAGCAATACCACCAAAACTTTCACTAGGTGTCATGGCTGTGCGTTGGCGCTTTCGAGGGGGTTCGGGCTCGGTAAGGGCGCCTTGGGATGAGGGTTGTTGCTGTGCCGAAAAACTCAAGTCTGGTTGCTGACCGTAATCAGAAGCGTAGCTCTGCTGCGAATTTCCGGGGAAATCATCGTGCCCCGATGCTTGACGGTTGAAGCTTGGAGCTCTCGTAGGCCCATTCCGGCTCCTGGGGCCGGGAGAGTCGAATCTGGCCTTGCTGATTGCAGCAACTGCGTGAGATGCGGTGGTGGAAATGCTCTTGAAGAAAGTGCCCGAGAGTCCACTGGCTCGGCCATCAGCGTTCGAATTGTAGAGTCGCTTGCGTTGAGCAGCCATGGCCTGCTCTTTGGTCGGCGTGTTGAGGTCGCCTCGACCGGCCACACCACCGTCCTGCCCCATATCGTAGGTCAAAAGTGGCCGCAGTAGCTCCTCGACTCCATACTGGCGGCAAACTTCGACTCCACGGTCAAATTTGATCCAAGTGCCCTGGTATTTTCCGTAGCCGCCCTGAACCTTTTCGTGCTCGCCCGTCTGGATCTCCTTTTCGAGGATTTTTGTGCGCTTGCCCTTGTCCACACCGGCGACTTTCAGAATCTGCGTAGCATTGAGCCATGAATCGTTTCTCCTGCGCATGACAGCGATGCCATTGACCTCCATTTCGTATACGTCGACGCCCGAGTATGAGGCCTAGAGGGGAGAAAAGATCTGGTTAGCCTGACTGAGCAAGTCTCTTCCATATCGTGAAGCTATGACATACTGAATAGATGGGCGAATCTATTACGGCGCTACCGCCAAATCCGCGGTGGAAGGAGCCCTGCAGCCCCTGTTGGGATTGCTGGCTCATGGTGAAGGATTGTTGGGAAGATTGCGAAGCTGATGGCATGCTGAAGGCGCAATTCGGTTTCGAGTCGCAAGACGACCTGCACGGGAAGTTGGGGGAATATGAATCGTCAAGGGCCGCCAAGGGCCAGCAAGATGTCTGTCACACCCGCCAGGATGGATGGTTGCCAAGGGCGAGGTTGCCAGCCGGGTACCTTTGTTGGATGCTCAGGGTCGGGGTTTTCAAGCAGGAGGGGGAATCCGGGGTAGGCAAAAGCGAGTGTAGAAAATACGGTGGTCGAGGGAGATTTGTGAAGACCCGGAGGGGAGGGAAGAGGGAATGATGGGGGAATGGACAAGTTGAGAGTGGTGCGTGGAACTAATTAATTCCTGTACTAGGCGCGCGCGGAAATGGGTTGCAGCAGTAGCGACCGGGTGGTGTGAGAGGTGTTGGTGGTAGTGGAGCGGCGTCGAGGTGGTAACAGCAAAGTGGGATAAAAGTATGCAGGTGATTGATTGATTTTAATCCAGAGTATTCGTGGGCTCTGCTGCTTGTTGGATCCCGGTCAGTCGTGGAACAGGGAATAAGGTACTTGAACGAGTCGTAGATGGAGTAGTGCAGAGTGAGGTAAGGTAGTAGAGCCGAGGGCAATAGAGCAGTCTCCGCTTCTGCAGCCAAGTAATTAACCTGAGCGAACACCTGCCTTGTTCCTGAACAAACAGCCGTGTCTCAAGCCCCCTCAATAGTGAACAAAGTGAAAACCGTTTTATTACACCTGAAGTGCAGCCAGTTGCAAGTCTAGTGTATGCAGGAAGAGTTGGGGGCAAGTAAAGGAAACAGCAGGATGGGAGGACGGAGGGAACTCAAAACTACCTGAATGACAAAGAGAACTTAGGATAGTGCGGTACGACGTTAATATCACAGCCCTCCAGCCTCAAGCGTGAACGCACCAAGCCTGCCCTTCCATGGCGGCGGATCTGAGGATGAGCTGCATTAGTGAGCCCGAAGCCTGATACGCGTCACGACACGGGTCTTGGTGAGGCGGCCAATTTAATTGTTGCAGGGCGACGTGTCTTTTTCGTGATTTTCGTGACGTGACGCGTGATCCGCGATGAGGCCCTGATTCACGGTCGCCACGAGACCAGGCCCGAGGCGTCTCGCTGCACAATGCGCTGGGTGGTGGCTGCATTACGTCAGCAATACCTCACCACCCACCACCTACAACAAAGATGTGCCATGCCACCAACAGATCGGTGCATAAACTGAACGGATCGAATCAGGTGCATGTCGATTTAGGATATGCTTGCATGGCTGTAGAATGTATAATCTTTATCCCATGCTTGCAGCTTAGGTACCACCCACCCTTATGCGTGCACTTCCAGGTCGCATGGCATAGACATTAGGTACCTGTCGGTACGTACCACAACCTGTGCCAAAATTTCGCTCCAGCTTCAATGCATCTGAGCACCTATCCAAGACCAATTCATGTCACCCAGTCTTCCGCAAAACAAGTGCAGGGTCTTCGATTTATTTCAAAGCTCCATTTTGGTCGTGTCTCAAGTGCTTGTACCTGACGCTCGTTTCCTCCTTTGTGCTGTAATACAATGCCTGGGCCTCCGCCACTGACGCCTACCAACGTCAAACCACTCCATCTCTACCGACAGCTCCTTCGTGAAGTTTCCTACCTGCCCCCGGCCTTTTCCGACTCTATCCGAACTATAATAGCCCACCGATTCCGCCTCGACAGAACGAAGAAGGACCTCAACGTTCCGGAGCGTCTCGCCCGCGGCAGGAACGTCTTGCGCCGGCTACGGGAAGCCAACCATGGCGGCTCAGGCCCCATGCTTGGACTGTTGCTGAGGGGATTTGCTAGGTCAGGCGCATCGCGGATCAGCCTGCTCTCGAAGCTCTCGGCAAAAGACGCTCCCAGTGACTCCGAAGCTCTTGCGAAAGCTGTGGCTGAGCTCAAACCCACCGGCGATGGTGTTGACTCTGCACCGTCGGTGACGAAGATACCCAAGTATGGCTGGATGGACAAGCTGGATAAAAAGAAGCTGTCTAGATTCGCGACGTCCCAGAGACGCCAGCAGGAACGGATTGGCCCCAGCACGCTTTCAGATTTCGCCGGCGTAAAGGCACCTCAAGAAAATCAAAAGGTGCCGAAATTGAATGTTTGGGGGAAACCTCCTTCGGAGTATGTTGTGAGGGCCAACCAGGCCAAGGTCTGGAAGAAAACACTCGGCATGATACTGCCTCCTCTGTCAAAGCCGCAATGGGAACTGCTCCGAGACTTAGCCAACGGTGCTCAGGAGACAGCTCAGTGGAAGGTACCTACCCGCAGGTCAAAGGCGAAGCCTCTGTCTGGTCCTACCGAAGACTCTGAATGGGATTGGAAAGCATACGCCCTACAGCCGACTACTACAATCGAAAACCGTTCCAGTCTCCGGGAGTCACGCTTCTCCATCTCCCGAGACGAGGGAAATCCCTTCACTCTCCGAAAGAGGGCTTCCGCAACCAGGTCAGATCGATGGTTCCGCCGCGCATACGACACTATATGGAGAAATAGCGCCATCATGGAGCAAGACCCCCAAACATTGAACTACGATATCACCTGGGGAGGTGAGGCCAATAAATACCCCAAACCAACACAGCGTCAACTTCAATTCCTTGATTCGGCTACCCCCCCCGAGAAGAAGTCAGGATCGCGATAAATGATTCTGTAATTCTATTTCTCTATATGCCTCTGAACCTTTTTTTCACCCAAGAAAGCGTACAAGCCAGGAACTCCGCTCAGTCTAGTGAACGGGCCAACTTGTTCAAACCTTCTCCATCAACACGCATACCCACCCAGTCGTTCATAGCAACTGCTCCGATGCTCTCATAGAACTTGATACTTGGCTCGTTCCACTTGAGCACAACCCACTCCAGTCTCCCGCCGTCCATGGCTAGCACCTGCCTGCTCAGCTCCACCAACAGCCGCTTGCCATATCCCTTCCCGCGATACTGGGGTCGGACGAACAGATCCTCGAGGTAGATACCAGCCTTGGATCGCCAGGTGCTGTAGTTGTAGAAATAGAGCGCCATGCCTGCGGCTTCGCCCTCTGGCGTGAACAGCAGAAGGCAGCGCGAAGGCCGAGTGGGCGATGTGGGTTCTGTTACAGGCGCCGAGGGGCTGTCACTGGTGGCGTTGTCTGGAGCGAAGGCGACTGTCTCTTGGATCGTCTGGACCGTTGCCTTGACGGCGTCGGACTCACGCTCGTAGTCGGCCAGCTCCTGGATCATATCAAGGATGATCTGCGCTTCTGTTGTTGGCAAGTCAGCTCCGATCTTCGGCGGCTGAGCTTTCAGGCCCCTCACCTTCGCGGCGCGCATGCCGGACGACAGCTTGCTTAGCGGTCATGATGAGACTTTGCTGTTTCTGTGAATAGGGGTCTTATATGGAGAGATTGAGAGGATTTCTTATTTCGCGCTGATGAGAAAAGAAGCTGTCCAGTCTCAATTTATGTAATTCCATCGTGGGGCAGCATCTGCAAAGTAGCAACGGAGGGCGTCGCAGACATTTTGGTGGGGCGATGCACTACACCGAATCGCGGCAGTCATTACTCCGAGGCACGGTCTCTCCGACCGACCGACTTTTTCACAATGCATCTTGAACATGGGCGAAGAATATAAACGAGGTTCAATCACATCAGCCTTGATCACAGAGGGTCTTCCAACAAATCTGTGGACCAGAATAGAACAATGAAGTGGCAAAAGGAACGTTTGCCGACCAGTTACAAATGCCTAAAACAAGGTTAAAGTTCCGAGCTCCTCAAACAACACCTGCGCCTTCTAGGATAGCACACATCGTGAAGAGAGCACAGCAACAATTGCATGCTTGCTGGAATTGCTAAAGCCGCAATTGGCGTGCCTTTAAGAGTCCAAAAAAAATAAACAAAGATGAACTGAAGTTATTCTTCCCGTTCCTGTGGCATTTGCTATTCACTGTCCGACGCTACCATCTCCCGATATACTCGTGTCTGAACAGTCCTATATCATCCAGCCAGATTGGAAGCACGGATTACTTGACGCCCGGGGTGGTGTCTATAACCTTAACCATGAACATTCCCTACCATCGGCTGTGCTATTCGATATTTGTTTCGCAGCCTGCTCTGGCCACACTGGGCAAACCTCAGTCACCTGCGTCACGTCGTAATTGAGCAGAGCAGCTTGGATATAAAACATTCATTTAACCATGAATCGAGTGACAGCTATCCTGGCGTGATTGAATTGTAACATTTCCACTCTCTTTCGCTACAGATTTGATCTCAATCCCGTCATCCCATCACTAACTTCCCAAGATGTCCTACATAAGCACGGGCTCAGTCATCCAAAATATCTCGGAAAAGGGGCAAATTATCAATATGGTTCTGCTCAGCCGTCATCAATTATTGCTCCAAGTACGCTAATATCCCCGTCGACTCTTCAACCGACATCGGGGCTCTCCATTCCACCATCCGCTACAATTCTGTTCGTGAAGAATCCACGCCAGAAGTCACATCGCTACTAGAATATATGCACACGAAGATCCTCAATTGAACCCTTCTCCGGAAGGGTATTGTATTACTAGGTATAGTATCTGAGAGCACAGGAGCTACCACAAACAGCCCATCATGCGATCCCCCGAAAATGCTTGAGATAGAAAGATGTTAATAATCGACATGCTTGTGTCCTCCGGATGGCAGTCTATAACATTAGACACAAAAACAAAACAAAAAAAGGGGATACGATCCCATCAAAACGTTGAATTAGAGACAGGCAAATTAGATACCACACCGCCCATCTTTCCACCATAAGTGAACAAGTCGAGGCGTCCATTACTCGACAGGGATATATAAAAGAAAAAGGCGTGGTTCTTAATTTCGGTCATAAACGCTCAGGGCTCACCGGAGAGCCGAGGCGCGTGAGAGAGGGCCATTGACTCGTGTCGTTGGCGGAGGGAGATGAGAAGAGTACGTGTGTCGGTAAGTTCTTTACAGGAAGAAGACGGGAACGAGCAGGACGAGCCCGGCGACGATCGACGGGACTGAGAGGGTGCCGGCAGGGCTGCAGTCATCATCGTCGTCGCCGCCGCCGCTGCTGCTGTGGCTGCTACCACCCTTCTTGCGCTTGCACAGATTAGAGTTGCCGATGCTGGTTGCCAGCGCAGTGGTGGTGGTCGAAGAAGAGGAGCTAGTGCGGGTGGAGGCAGCGAGGAGGGTCGCTGAAGCGGTAGTTGTGGCGAAGGCAGTCGAACGGGCGGAGGTGGAAGACGAAGACCCAGAGGAGCCGGTGCGGCAGCGTCCGTCGGATGTGCAGGTCTGGCCGGCGTTGCAGTATGTGCCGGCGCCGTCGCCGCAGCAGATGCCGGTGCTGGGGATACAGAAGTCGCCGCACTTCTTCTTCCCAGTGTCGCAGGTTGCGGTGCCAGTGCAGGTCTTGCCGACGGGGCAGCAGCCGTTGGACTGGCAGACGTAGCCGGCCTTGCAGGAGGCGCCGTTTCCGTCGCTGCAGCAGGTGTTGGTGATGGAGATGCAGTAGTTGGTGTCACACGTCTTCTCGCCAACCTCGCAGCTGGACTGGCGGTTCTCTAGAAGAGGAGGGAAGTTTGCGACGCCCCGGGGGAGGAGGTCCTCCTCGACGCCAACAGGAACATCCTTGCCCTCGAACTCGAAGGCGAGAGCAAACCCGGCCAGGGCAAGGGCGTGAATAAGACGAACCATGGTGTAAGCGGTTGGTTAGAAGGAAGATCAAGTTCCAATATCAAGTCGAAGGGTGAAGAGAAAGAAGGAATGAATAGCAACCCCGGGCTCAAGAAGAGAGGAAAGAAAGAGGATGATGTTGATATAGGCAGGAGAGGTTTCGGGACGAGGTGGGGGATACCGAGCTCTTCATATATGCAGTCTCAGCTGCATGTCACCGAGCCAAAGGAAGTCAATCAGAAGCCAGGCCCGTGCTGCCTGCCCGTCAATGAACCACAACAACCTACGAAGAAGAGTACGCCTTGTGCTAGCGTGGCTGCAGGGAACCTGGACGCAAAGCCCTCAGAGGAGCGTCCATGCTGCCCTACCATTCTGCATTAGCCTGTGGTTTGAGACCGCAGTAGCGCAATGAGAATTTCCCGAAGAAGAGATGAGCGGTCATCCCTGTAGGGCCGTGTTGCTCGTGTCTGCCCTCCCATGATTTCCTATGACTCCTGCACCAGTAGCGGGCAAGACTCATCAATATGCCAAGACAGTGACCATGAAAGAGCTCAGCACATGTCAGCCTCGAAGGCAAACTTGTCACTCAAGAGGAATGAGAATTCAGGGGTGACGGGGTTGATACCAGAGTGACAGACACCGGGCAATGGGAATCAGTCACTGTGGAGGGTGGAGCCTCATCTTTCAGCTGCGAGCACTCTGTGGGTGCGTGAATGAGTTGTTTTCCAGTGGGTCACGACCAAAGGAATCAGAGACTGCCAGCAGGCTACACATCGGCAAGCTGAGCCGGGGCGAGAGCCATGGGGCTTGGCTTTTGTCGCATTGATCGTTGTGCGTCTGAACAGCGGAGGGTGGAGGACGAAGGAAGTGAAGCTCATGCAGATGCCTGTCTCGCCTGTTCCCTTGGGAGTTATCCCTGAGTGCAGGTCTGGTGGGTGTAGGCTCCCAATTTCAGGCAGCGATGGTCATCATCAATCACAGGCCCAACAGCAGGTCGGCGCATCAGGAAGCATTGCATTACCTCACGGGAATTGGTCCCGGGTGTCGCACGGCCGTTGGGATGTGGTGGAGGAAGGAAGGGCTCGGGATGTGGGTGGCGGGCAGTGCAGCCCAGAAATGCAGCCAAGGTGCCGCTGATCGCCAGGCGGCACCTCGCTACCCAATAGGCTGGTTTGGCTGTGACTGCCCCCTGAAGCCGGCCCTGGCAGCACTCCACAGGGCTGAAAAGCTAATGCAACCCTGCTAAACCCCGCCTGGATGGTTAAATTTACGCTTCACCACTCAACATTAATCTCTCTGAGGCTCGGTTGGACCAGGGTTCTGAGCGCTATGCCTGTTTGCCGCAGTGTGCTGCCCATCCATCGTATCTCTCGTGTCTGTAGCTCAGTGAAGAATTTTGAAATTACCACACAAAGGACCTCTGTGTTGGCCATTTTTCTCACCACCCTTTGGGCAATACGAGCAATTAGCCGTATGAAACTATGACCAATGCCCCTATCATGAGTCCACAGCCTCAACCGCCAAGACCTGCCATTAAACCATGACAGAGGGATCATCGTCAATCATAATTATGGTGGAAACTGGTCAGATCCAATTGAGTGCATAGCCCTATGATCTTGGCATACCACATACCATATTCCAGCACAGTCAGACAAGGCACTGGTATGGCAGCAGAGAGGGTGAAAGCAATCAGAAGGTGAGACGTATCCGCCACTGTGGTCCTCGAACTGATAACCATATCCAGACGAGGGACAACCCCATTGCTCCGGGCCTGCTCCATGCTCTGCCAGAAGTAACCCCTCCTCCCCGTCTTCATGCCGTAGGTGTCATGGACATCGGTGTAGCGGGATCGACAACCAAGTGGCCTACCAAAATGGCATGATGAAGAAAATGCGTAAAACGCGCTGGGTACGCGTGACCCACACCCAACAACATCTGGACCACGGTCGACTGGAAATATTCTTTTTTTGGCAACAGAGTGCAGCCATCGCCGCCTGCTTGTCATTCGCCTTTGGCTCACTACCTAAGGCAGACTGGTTTTATTATGACCCGCGAAGGAATAAGATGTGCAGCAACCTGCCAGATCGGGAACACGACGGGGCGCTGGCCAGATTGATTCTCCCCTCCCGCCAACCCAGCTGCCCATCTTCACATCCTCGCGGGAGCGCATCATCCAGAAGGGTGCTCTGGCTCTCGTGACTTGCACTCCCCCTTCACCTGCAACTCAATTCCATGAACCGGGTCCAAAACTGACGCCAAGGATTCTCACCGACCCGACGACTCCTCCCGCATGTTTAATGACAGGGAGCGCGGTGGCTGACACAGACAGCGATGGCCGGTGTGCTAGTACTAGCTGCATCGACTCCAGAAGGGCTTGGCCGCTTCTGGAATTCTGTGCGACAGCTCAAGGCCGTGTGTCTGGTCAGCCGGAGCGCAGAGGCCAATCCCGATGGATGCCACATGGTGATGAGGATTTCATGGCACCCGCGTGAGCCTGCCGTCAAGATGAAGACTATGTAGTTGGGATGGGATGGAGGCGTTACGGCCAGCACACTGGGTACTACTTCCCCTGCGTGCATCTGATCAGCCACGTTGTAGTGCATAGAGATTACCAGCCAATCCAGCAAATTGTTTTTGTTCCAGATGTGACGGACTACCAGCAGAAAATATTCCACTAATTTGGGCGCCCTCCTTGTCCAATGTCCAGCTACTATCAGGAGTCTTCTCACCAATATTCTTCCACGCAGTATCAAGGATGAGCCAATTGGTCTAGGATTACGCCGTCAGGAGGCATCAACGCAACAGCTGGCGTGGTGGCAGAGTGGTCTAATGCGCAAGACTAGAAATCTTGTTCCTTCGGGAGCGTCTGTTCGAATCAGGCCCACGTCGACACTTTCTTTTTGGCATCACGGCATTGATAATTATCAATCGATCAGCTAATCAATCAACAAAGTAACAAACGGGAAAGAGGTTCCAGTGGTAAATGCTGTAGATTCCATGCCTGTGTTGTCGTTTCTCGCCAGACATGTGCCTACCCTACACAAGGCGCATGGCGATGACTTCAGCTAAGAAGTAGTATGTTTAAGCCGTGAGAACCCAAACTCATAACAAGAGGTAAAACCAGTACTTTTTTACGTATCTTAGAAGTGTACGACTTTCACTATATGGGCCTTCTCCAACTTCAGGGTCGCAATGATAGTTTGCAAGCCGGTCAACACATCAAAGTCCGGCCTTTTTGCTCGGCAGTGTGTAAGATTTACCGCCAACAATGGCCTTTGCCAACATGTGACTTTGTTGTGTCGCTACCCCCAAAGCTATCCCTTAAAGTATTGAAATTCGTAAGACAGCTATTTAACTACGTCTCTGGCTCATCACTTTTTTTTTGATAACTCCACAGCGACCTTCATCGACCTCTCATCCTGAATATTCGTCGTGGTATCTACTACCTCGATCGAATACATTCTTCTTTTTTACAAGAAAATGCCAAACTATTCGACTGAGCTTCAATGACGCAACTAAAGTTGAAATGGGCCTGATCTCGCCTACTCTGTCAGATTGCACCTACGGCTCTAACTCCAACCACACCAGCTCTATCTTTGCACTCTCGCTCCCTTCTCAAAGTCAGCGTTGATATCCACATCTTCCAGAACAACGTTACTGTTCTTAGCTGCATTGATCCGCATCTTCCTCAGATGCCAGGTCTGCCGTTCGGTGTGCCTCGTGAGCCACCAAGTCCACAGAGTAGCAAGAATGCACACCCCGCTCATCCCCATTGCCACTGCGAACGAGACTCTATATTTGGGGGCGTACTTGGATTGGAAGATCTGCGGTCCGACAATCGTACCGATCTGGCCGAGGGAATTCGAAAAGGCAATGGCAAATGCCGAACCAGTGGCCTTGGATGTGGTCTGGAGGCGCCACGGCCACATGGTCGAGAACCAGGCCAAAGACGCTGAAGCCGCAATGGTCGTGGCAGCATATACGCCTCCGAGGTTTGGATAAGTGACCATTACCGCGTAGCATGCCAGTGTAGTGACCATGTAGACAAGTGCGATGAGAGGATACGGCACACCCTTCCGCCCGGTCAAGTATGCGCTGAGGCCAATGAGGAACATGGGAATAACCGCGGAAGGGATAGTGAGTAATTGACTTTCGGCGATGGAGCTGTGGGAAGAATGTCAGATGAGTTTCGGCATGAAATCTCGAGAAGTGAGAAGCGGCTTACACAAGCCCCAGATCAGCTACGATGGTAGGCAGGTAGAACGAGAGACCCGAGCCTCCAATTGTCTTTGTCGCCCAGATCAGTGTGAACCACCAGAGGCGCTGGTCCTTGAGACTCTCCCAAATTTCGCTCATATTGAAGTCGGATTCACTTGATCGAGGAGCATTTGCAGGGAGTCGGGCTTGGAGGAATCTCTTTTCCTTGTCGGTAAGCCATTTTGCCTGCTCAGGGACTGTATCAAGATGTAAGCCTTCATGATCCTCATGAACTGGGTGCGTCTGCTTACAATCAGGGAAAATCCACCACAGCGAAATCCCGAAGAGAATCGTAAATATTCCCTCAACAAGAAAGTACCTATGAGTATAAGTGAATAAGTTAGTCGAGGATTGCGGGTACATAAGACGGGTATACTGACCACTGCCACCCGGATAAACCACCTCGTCCAGATATACCGTTGAAACCATAAGCCAGGACAGCACTGACAATATTGGCGAAGAACTCGAAGGAGTCTGTTGTAGAAGTATGAGTAAATAGCTTTGTTACATTGAGAGGGTAGGCATAGACGATGACGCACAGAAAATCAGAAGCCGGCTCGTCATCTCATCAGCCCGGTACCAGTATGTTAATTGCAGAATGATGCCAGGGAACATTCCAGCTTCGCACTGCATGCAGTTAGCATTAAGGGAAGCATGGCTACTGCTGAACTTGTTCACTTACAAGACCAAGGAAGAATCGAGCTGTCAGAAGTCCCGCTTTGGACGTGACTGCGGCATGACATGCCAGTGTGATTCCCCAAGTCACCTAACCAGGTCAGTGTTTATGTACAATCTCAGCTTGAGCAGACCTATAGACAAGCCATAATTCGCGCCTGGAACCTTGAAGGGAGCATTTTCTTCATGATCAGGTTCGATGGTATCTCGAACACAATAAAAGGTATCTGGCACACCGTGTCAGTTCTAAACTTTGAGATACCGGCTGACGAGAATTCATACGAAGTATATTGTGCTGACCCAATTGTAGTCGTCACTGGTCATTTTGAGCTGAGTGAGAATGTTTCGGTCGGTTCCACGGTTCATAATACGAGCATGCGCAGCCTTTAGAGATTAGCTGGGTTCCTATTGATTGTGTTCTCCATAGTCTTGACAGCACCAAGGTCACTTGGACTCACATTGTTCGCATCGACATTCTTAATCATGAAAATGATGGCACATAATATCATGAGGCGAATGTCTACACGACGCAGTAGCTTCTTCTCCTCTTCATAGGACAGAAGGCCTCGATCCTTCATGCGTTCGTGGTCGTAGCCAGTGATTTCGGCTGTATTTTCTCCATCGACATTCGTGTCTCTTGGTTGGATGTGCAATTTCCCTTCAGCGGAGGTCTCTTCGCTCCTCGTGACCGGGTCTGTCTTGTCATCGACATGGGACGCCATAATGGAGACAAGAAGTGATGGAAAAGGGTTTCTAGAGATAGAGACGTCTGGATTCGCACGAGCCAACAAAAGAAGTCACTGAGACACATGCGCCTTATAAACTGTTTATTTTCTGAGGGGCAATCATGCCAAGCCGGATTTGAGGCTGTTTTATGCGGCCCGCTAGGTGCTCTTGCAACCCAGAGCAAGAATATTTTATCTGATGAGATGTTACCCAATGATTGGCCGGAGATGGATACCATATTAGGGTTTTAATCAAAGTATTATTAACCTTGTAAGCACAGCAATGTCGTATGGTAGAAACAGGGAGTGGACATAACCGCCATCGTGGGGGTTGGCGGCACACTATCCCGGCTGGCTTCTCACACGTCTCGTAGCTGAGCTCGGAGTCCGAGCACCCTGGCTTTTCCCCCTGCCACTCACTTATTAGAGTAAATCCAATTACGTACATTGGGAAGGTCAGCTGGGAACTTTTAGAACATCAATGACAGTAAGATCGAACGCCTGGTGTCTCGGAGTGTTGCAGATCCTTGTCATGGGAGGCGAAGTTCTTGTCTTCCTCCTGGTGGAGGTTGCTTGGTTCACATTACACGCAGTGTGGGTTGTTGTATATGGATTGAGCCAGAAATTTGTGAAAAGAAAGCTAAGCTGCCCTAGCCGAAAGCTAATGGTTATCAATCTTGAGAAGGGAAGGGGAGGGAGCATAACGGACCCTCTATTGGACTTAGACTGCATGTTGCTTGCACGCTTGTCTTTAGACGCCCACAATGCGGAAGAGTGGGCAAGGAGAGTGCCGTTACGGGACATGGGGTATAGTCACAAGCGAGGATGGGGAAACTAATCAGATCTTTCAAAGGCGAACCTGACTTGCACGGGATTCACTATCGCTACACCTCTTCGCGTATTTCCACCTACCATGAACTGGGTGTTGAACGCCTCTCGGGATTGACCGGTGTTAACCGCATGCAACCCTGCATCCTGTACGCACATAGAGGATTTCTAATGATAATCTAAACCTCATGTGGCTTTGGTCATCGCCTGCTGGGAGGAGTCGAGGGGGGGCGGTTTTCGCAGCCGATATCCGTCAGACTCAATCTCATCAAGAGCATCTCATTCGACCACGTCCGCGCCACTTAAACAACACAAAGAAGTCTAAACAAGAAAGAATTCTTTAGTTTTTAACTAACTTAAGGCCACGACCGGTTTCTGCGACACCCTGTTTTGTCATGTTCATGGATCCATCCACCCGTCCGTCCATCCCTTGACCCTTCAGTGACTGACGGAGCTCATTGACTGCCCCTGGTAGCGCTCAAGACCCTCCTGACCCTTGTAGTCCTCTATGTTCGGGGTCATCTGTTGAATGGCCCCAATACCGCCGTGTGTACTGTCTGCAGTGTAGCCCTTTGCCCGCAGGACGCTCGTAGCGACGCGGGCAGAGTCGCCATCGTAGCACATGATCAGCGAGTGTTTGTCGCGAAGCTGCGAGCAAATGTCTTCGTTGTTGGATTCGAGCCTCGCCTCGAATTCCTTCCAAAGCCAGGTCATTACCTTGGGGTCGGAAAACGGACCGGCGGTGCCGGCCTCGACCAACGGGAAATTGAGAGATCCAGGGAGGCTGAAGCGCTCGTAGTCCTCGACCTGTCGCAAGTCAATGATGACTGTGTCCGAGCAAGGAGATAGGATCTGCTCCCAGCCCTGGCGTTCGTTGGCGGGCCTCTTGCACATAAATAGTAGAATATCCCTGTCCAGCACGTTGTTGACACGATAAAACTCGGCAAGAGCAGTCAGTGGTTCCTTTTCCCAGGCCGAGTCGTACCGGTACAAGTCAACATCTGCCAGTTCCTGGGAAGCATCAAATTAGCCCAATGACTCCAACCGCCCTGGACAAACGCGGTCATGGAAACGGATACTCACGGAGTTGCTGATGGTGGGGAAGTACTCGGATCCCAACTTGGCAAAATACTCGTCGATGTACTGGTACGGAAGATCGCAACAGAGGAAAGCACAGTGGATCTGACCGTCATCGCCTGCCAGCTCAGTCAAGGTTCCCTCATTCTTCCTCTTGTCGAGAAATTGAAATAATCCCTGGAGGTTGAAGCCGGATGATGGGCCGCTGACAATACCGTTACGGCAGAGCTGCAGTGAGAGAGAGAAGGAATGATGGGATCCCACTTCTTCGATGTGGTCGACGGACGACTTCCAGGGGAAGTTGACCGGACCAAGTAGAGCCAAAGACCGAGGCCCTGGTACCCGGTCACCTGCAGCAGTGCAAACACTATGTCGGGACCTGGTTAGACTGAGATTCGGGACTGAGCTTTGGGAAAACATACCCTAATCTGAAGACAGATGGTTTCTGTTCCTTGAAGAAGCTTCCTAGGCCTGACATGGTCCCTGAGTTTCGAAGAGGAATCAACACTTGTACTGCAAACCCAAATAATGTTATATAACGTTGCTAAGGCTCGAGCATACCTGAAGTGCCCATTCCTGCGCAGATCAAGCTGATTTCGGGCAATTGCTCCAGAATCTGAGGGCCTGTCCATCGGATGTGGGATTGCCAGTTCTTGATTGTTTTGTTAGTAATTTCAATGATCATAACACTGGTTGACCCTAGAACTCACAAGATCGTTGTCATACTGATCAGGATTGCACACGGACTCGGAATTTTGTGCCAAGCGGTACGCGGCGCGGATACCTCCACGTTCATCTTTCGGTTCTGGCTGAGAAGGACCGCCAAACAGAGTACTGCCACGGAAGATGTGAGTAAACCGGGGAGCTTTTCGGACATTTCTGTCCAACCAGGGGCTCTTTTACTTACATGTTCAGACCAAAGAACTGCATCAGTCTCAGTTTTGCCTCTGTGGTCTTGTTGCTCAAAAAGGCATGCACATCGTCCAAGCCGTGGAAAACCCGTGAGATCATTGCCATGGAGATGACGGTCGACCCGGAGCTGTATTCCACGACTGTCTTGGTTTTTCCGGGAGCAACTCCATGCTGAAGAAGATTCAATGCTATGTTTATTGTTTAGCCCATCAAATATTTGAGGCCGTGTAGGCAAACGACTGGATTATATGGGCGGTCTACCTGGCATCGCCTTGACATTGTTTGCGGGATGCATCGTCATCATCTTGGCATAGATGCGTACTCCATCTTGATGGTATGGGTTGAGGGACTCAGGAATCTCTACCAGAGGCAGTGGTGGTGCAATATCAGGATTGAAGTACTCCTTGAGGGCATCAGGGCCCTTGTAAACGTTGAGATTATTCCTCGTTTGCATCGTCGAAACTTTATCAAGTAATGAGAAATGGGAAAGTTCTGACAAAGATGTTGTATAAGCGTTGATGAGATGGGACGAGAGAGTAGGAGGTTAGGTGAGAACAATGACTTTGCGGTTGTATTGAGAATATCTTATCAGATCACTACCAGATCTTTAGACAGAGGCAGGTGGGCTCTGATATTATTCCCAGTTTTTTGCTCTTCATGACGCCGAGGCATCTAGAAGGCTCAGCTTCTGGGTCATCAACGCAGCCAGTCAGCCACCTATACAGGATAGTTACATCATGGACGGATTAGATCCATTCTTCGATGTCACCATATGGCCATGAAGGTCCTTGCCCTGTCAAGTAAGAAACTAGCAATTGCCGCTGCTGGGATTGTCGATTCCCGGATCACGTCTTCGTATTCCGAGAATGCCTCTTAATTATGGTTTAGAGTATCAAGCTTGGATTCAGTCATGCATAAATGAGAGGATGATGACATTCAAGCTGCCAAACTCGACATGGTCTACATGTCGTGGGCCAGCTAAATCGACAAGCCTAGCCCTGTGTGCGTGAAATTGTAACGTAATTAATTCATGAGCTATAAGTATTCTGCCGCTTTGAGACATATGTTGATCCTAAGCGAACATCGCTTAACCATGCTTCTCATTAGAATTGTTTCCACATGTAACATAACGAGATCAGAGGTACATTCAAATTATGTGGGCTGGGTTGCCACAAAGGTTCCTCGGCAGTCTAAAGAGATTTTCATTAACTTTCCTTCACGTCATTTCAGGATATCGAGGGAAGTCGGTCTCCGTTTCTCGGAGCCTGCCATACTATAATTAGATGACAAATATCATGCTCAGTTTCTGTTGCGAGTATACCACAGACACCTGATCAACCAATCTGTTCAACAGAGTAGTATCTGCAGCTCTGCCTAGTTTCACCCATCAGCAATGAGTCGGCCTATCAGTGACGAGACCCAAAAGCCTCAGGCAATGGCTTCTGCAGACCCTCAGAAGTCGGATGCTTCGACGGAATCACCGACGCCCAGAGACAACAAAGGAGAGGCACATGTGTTCAACGAGCAGACCAACTACGTCTCCAAAAGCAAAATCATCACGGTACACATCCCCTTTCAATACGTTAGGGTATCGGCCATCCTAACTCCTGCAACTAGATCTTTCTGGCATGCGCCACCGTCGATCTGGTGGCACTTATGGACCAGACCACCCTGGCTGCTAGCTTGACCATCATCGGCAATGCGCTGCAGGCGGGACAGCAGCTGTCCTGGCTAGCCAATGGCTACTTCATGTACGTTAACTGAGCTCCGAGGCGAGTCCCGCGCGTCTAACACGTTTGCAGAACATCCACGGTCGGGCAACTCTTGTACGGCCGGCTCTCGGACATATGGTCACGCAAGGTCATCCTGATGATCGGGTTAGCCATCTTCGGCATCGGGTCACTCGCGTCATCACTGGCCCAGACAGCCACCCAACTCATCATCTTCCGCTGCTTGACCGGTTTTGGAGGCGGCGGGCTCATGACGGTTGCGCAGATGATTGTCAGTGACGTGGTGCCGTTGCGAGAGCGAGGTAAATACCAGGGTATCCTAGTAAGTTCCCCGCGGGTCATGAAAACTGGATTATCAGATCCATCAGATTAGATTAGGCGAGACGCCCTCGGTTCTACATCATACACCCATCAAGCTAATGTCTGTGTCTCGTTCATCTAGGGATCGGT